ATTAGGAAGGTTTGATAAGGGAGCAGTATGAAAGAAGACTCAAAAAGCAGGTTGGAGGATCATAAATGCTAAGCTGAGGATTTGAGATTTTTACCTTATAACAATATATAAATGATAACCAGTACTGAACACTTAATGCTTTCCAAGCACTGTTCTAAGTACTTTACATATGTGATGTCATTTAGTAACTTTCCAAGGTCACACCATTAGAAGACTGTAGAGTCAGCCTTTAAACACAAATTTAAATCCAGAACCCCTGCCCTTAATCACAACCCTGTTCTAGTTCTGGAGTCTATGGTAAGTTGAACAAGTTTCAGGCCCAGGACCACTGATCTTAAACAAGTAATACACTTTACACCTCAAGTGATTTTTAACATTTATGAAAAGTAATGTGACCAGATAATGACATCCCATCCCTATTCCTGCCACCCTGAAATGTCTCTAGGACAGTTGAGGAGAAGTTAAGGTGTTTGTGCTAATGGCTTTCAGCTCTGCCTGCTTTTCTGTGCTTATCTGGTCAGTTACTCTCAGTTAACCCCTGCTCCCCAACATCCAAGTTATATCAATCCATTGTTAGTTGTAGTTTATTGGTTCCTAGAGTGTGGCTCCTGAACTGGCAGCAACAGCATCAACTGGGAAATTGTTAAGAGTCCCAATTCTGGCCTCATTCCAGACCGACTAAATCAGAAACTCTGATTCAGTCTGTGTTTCAACAGCCCTCACCTAGAGATTATGATACTAAGTGAAATAAGTCCAAAAGAGAATGACAAATACCATATGATATGACTTATATGTGGAATCTAAAATACGACACAAGAGAACATATCTATGAAACAGACAGACTCAGACATAGAGAACAGACTTGTGGTTCGCCATGGAGGAGGGTGAGTAGGAAAGCGAAGGACTGAGAGTTTGGGACAAACTATTATATATGGATGGATAAACAACAAGGGCCTATTACATGGCACAGAGACCTATAGTCAGTATCCTGTGATAAAACATATGAAAGAGAATATGTGAAAGAATATATACATATATATGTATAACTGAATCACTGTACTGTAGATATTAACACAAGACTATAAATCAACTCTACTTCAATAAAATTAACAACAACAAGTAATTCTTTAAGAGATTATGATGCATGCTGAAGTTTGAAAACCATTGCTATAGTATACTCTAGGGTTTCCATTCGGGAGCAAGCTACCAAAAGTTTTTTGATAATACCTGGTATTAAAATTGAGAATTTCAATCTTGAGTCTCTGCTGCTGGGTCTTGGCAGTCTAACTTTATGGAAATAGCCATGGCTACTAAGCTAGTGGCGGGTTCCCAGGTGGCTCAGTGGTAAAGAATCCACCTGCCAATACAGGAGATGCGGGTTTGATCCCTGGGTTGGGAACATACTCTGGAGAAGGAAATGGCAACCCACTTCAGTGTTCTTGCTGGGATAATACCATGCACAGTGAGCTACAGTCCCTGGGGTTGCAAAGAATCTGACACTACTGAGCATGTGCACTGCAACCTAATGAGCATTTTAAAAGGGCTTTTTGTCAGCCTCTCTGAAGTAATTATACTTTATGAGCATACCTAAGCTTTGCTTTATTACTTTAATTCATTCCTGAAAACTTTACCTCTTAGTGAAAAGATTTTAAAGCAGAAGATATTTCCATCAGTTTTAATGGAAAAAAATTATGTGTTTCATGGTTATCTAAGATACCAAAATAGTTTTCAGATTAAAAAATATATCAGTTGAACAGTGATAACAAGTTTGTATAAATAAATACTTAGAAAGTTAATAGTAACAGTTTGTACTTAAAATGTTATGTAATGATGATTTATTGTACTTGCAAAAAGAGGAAGAGAAGGCTTGATAGTGAGAGGTTGCTGGTGGTGGAGGACTACAAAGGAATTATTCTTTGGAAGGGGCTGGAGAGTCAGGTAGTAAACTTGAAAACAGATAATCTTTGGGAGTGTGTGGGTATCTTGCACTTAAAAACAGCTACAGCACACCTGGGCCTGCCAGTGGGATACAGGTGAAATAGCCTCTGTTCTCAAGGAGACTGGAGAAGGAGTGAGATGCCCCAACATCTCACTCTATAAGGAACTAAGTGCTTGTTGAAACTAAGTGCTGTATAGGACAGCAAGGGAGCAGCTGGGGAATCTTCTAGACTCCTCAGTCTTCAAATTAAACCTTAGAAAAAGAGTGGGGTCCTGACTGGTGGAAATGGGGACAGGGTAGGCCATGCTGAGGTAATGGTGAGAGAAGGTTCAGGACATATTGTCAGGGGACTGGGAGTCCGTTGGAGCACTTGGAAAGGAAAGAAAAGGAAGGGTGTATGTGTATGACAGAGATATAGGAAAGGGGACACTGAGCTTATTTCAGCTGCATTCTGTGGGCAACAGGGAGCTATGGAAACATTTGAAGAGAGCAAGGCATGTTTTAGGAGGAGTAAAATCAACGGAAAAAAAACTAGTTATAGCACAGGAAAATACCATTAAGGCAAAATAAAGAAACAAGAGCACCTTTGAAACAGACAGCAGATGGGGGAATCATAAGGAATGCTACCTCTTCAGTGTTCTTGCTTGGTGTTCATATGCACAGAAAAACTTCTGATTCATCCAAATGCAGTACATGGTTTAATTTTTCTTTATAATATTCTCTAAATAGAAATGATCGTATTGAGTAGAGCAATGAATGTATCTGTTAAATATCACTTCTTATATTTTGAGTACGTCTTTGATTTTTTTAAAGCTGTAATACAAAAAAGGGAGGGGTTCATTGTCCAAGAAGTGGTATTACTTTTCAAGAGACATTATAACAAAAAGCTACCTAACGGTTGTCATGTGAGGCAAGTCTGTGATGAGAAATGACATGTCTAAAAACAACTGATTGAAAACTATGCTTCAAACAGTCTCAGTTGTGGATTTCCTGCAAGTCTTTAGGTGAGGCAGTTTTTAACTATAAATTTTGTAGGCCTCTTTAATCTCTTTTATGTAGCCTTCTTATGTCTCAGAGTTTTAACAGTCCATTTGGTTTACAGCCTTGACTATTTGTATTCATACTTTGCTCTTTTTCTTTCTTGAATCTGACTGTGGAGGAAGAAAGAAGTCATTCCTACCCACAGATTTGGAGCAGGGAGAGGAGATTTTATTATTGTTTTTGGTTTAGAAAGAAAAGAACTAAAGATTTCTGTGTTTTATTAGATATGTAGAACTCCAAATTCACATATATAATATTTTATAATACCTTATTTATTATGATATTTCTTAAATAGGAATGTAGATAATTCCTTCTGGATAAAATTATATGGGAGCAAAGGTTATTTAACTCCACCACCCAGGAATATAACACATAGGAAACAGTGTATAAAAGATTTTTTTTTTCTTTGTCTTGGATGTGAAAAATCTGAAATTGGAGAAATTTTCCTATTTTATATATTTTTAATAATGGGCATATTATACTTTCCTCTCTCCCAAAACAGCATTCATGAAAAAAAAAAAAAAGCTTTTATGATGATATTAAAATATTAAGTGGAAGTCACTTCTAGTTATCAGGTTTGTTAAGGGATAGAGTTAACAATGTAGTGAAGTTTTTTTTAGCTTGCTAGGTTAATTTCCTTTCTGTCTCCATCTAGAGAACACAGAACATTTAAAATTGACATTTCCATAGCTGTTTGACTCAGATGTACTGAGAAGATGCACATGGCCTAAAATTTTTGCCAAGATCATAATTCTTGACCCACAGATAGCCTCTTTTAGTTAAAGTCTGATGACAGAGTAATAGAAACTTTGTAAAACCTTGTATTGGTCATAGTTGTTGTTGCTTTTGTTTTTATAAAATGTAACGGGTATAGAAATGGTTGGCAGTGGAATGGTTATACCTGCTGCTCCTCATATAAGGTTTGAGGTTTAGAGACCCAGATCTACAGTTTATGGAGAAGAAAACTGGACATTGACTTTTTAAGAGAATTATCCGTGGTTCTTAAATTTGGCAATGACAGAAAAAACTTTTTCAAAAAATTCAAGATAGATTACACTTCGGGTCCATATAAAGAATTGTTTCTGAGATAGTGGTAGCAAGATTTGGAACCAGGACTACTAGTATATTTGTATAATCTGTTCCCTACTCCAGGAGAATAAAGGAAAGCTAAGATCCTGCCCACACTCTGAGCTTCCCAAGCCATATGTCCTGGCACAGGGCTGCGTGGAGGAAGAGGGTTTTTTTTGGTATTTGACCACCCAGTAGGAACACTTTCTGCAGTTAGCGTGGAGAGGGGCACCTTTTTGCAATTGACTGAAAGGAATCATATATGCTAGCTGAGCCCTCTTTGGAACCCAATACTTGGAATAATTGTTAACAATGTTGTCAGCAAAAGATCTTCTCTGGGGTCTAAAGAGAGTTCTAAGGTTTATATAACATGGGACTACTGCCCATAGTACTATAAATTCAGAAGACATTAGCAGGGCTGAAACTGGGCAAAAATGAAGGCTTCTTTAAGTCTTTTTATAAGAGCCTATACTTGGGGCCAAATGTGAACCAGTTCGTGAGGCATTAATTTTTATTTCCAGGAGGGGAATAGCTGTGATTCAGATGATTACCTGGTATAGTATATGTAGTCTGATATTAAAAATTCTTGAGAACAAACTTATATAAGATATTTGAAACTCATCTGTATAAAGTCACTAATTGTCTTTTAAACTAAGAATATTAGGCTGGAAATTAGGAAACCCATACTCTAACTGTTGGTACCCCACTAATTCATTCTGGCCTCATACAAGTAGCTTAACCTTTCTGGCCCTCAGTTTCCAAATCTGTGAAGTGAAATAAGTGCACCAAATATAAGGTCTCTTTCAGTTCTAACATTCTGTGACTTTAAAAAAGTAAAAATCTTTTCTAGCCAGATCTTGAACTGCAATTTAATACATTGATGGAGAATCAGTCCATTTTAAATCACTTAAGCCAAATAACCATATTTTTCATACTCATTCTTGTTTTCCAGAAACTCTGCGAAGGCATATTTAAAGTCCTTTTAAAGGACATCCCAACAACATGTCAAGTGTCCTGCCTGGAAGTTCTCCGCATTCTCTCCAGAGACAAAAAGGTTTTAGTTCCTGTAACAACCAAGGAAAATATGCAGATACTGCTGCGACTAGCCAAGCTAAATGAGTCGGATGATTCTTTGGAGAAGGTGTCAGAGTTCCCAGTTATTGTGGAGTCATTAAAATGTCTTTGTAACATAGTGTTCAACAGTCAGATGGCACAGCAGCTCAGTCTGGAACTTAACCTTGCTGCAAAGCTCTGTAACCTCCTGAGAAAGTGCAAGGACCGAAAGTTTATCAATGACATTAAGTGCTTTGACTTGCGCTTGCTCTTCGTCCTGTCACTTTTGCACACCGACATCAGGTCACAATTGCGCTATGAGCTCCAAGGACTACCGCTGCTAACCCAGATCTTGGAAAGTGCCTTTAGCATCAAGTGGACCGATGAATATGAATCGGCCATAGACCATAATGGACCTCCTCTCTCACCTCAGGAGACAGACTGTGCCATTGAGGCCCTTAAAGCTCTCTTCAATGTGACAGTAGACAGTTGGAAGGTGCATAAAGAGGTAAGGTCAAGAAGAGTATTCTCATCTGCTTGGAATTTCATTGGTTTGGGAGCTGCCTGAAACAGAGGAATGCTAAACAGGGAAATGGAATAAGTTTCCAATTCCCTCATTAATCAGTTATATGACTCAGGATACATTTCTTAACCATTTGTAACTCTTATTCTTTCCATCTGTGTGACACTTATCAAGAGAATAGGGTGAGGATGGACTGCTGTTTTGTAAGATGCCAAGTATAGTTCCTTTTCTGAGTTGTACTATCATGTGTCTTTTTTTTTTTTTAAGTGCCTCTTTCAGAAACAAGGTTTAAATTATTAAAAGAGTTGATGGGAAACAAAACAATGATTCATAAAGGTCTAGGCATGTTCATTGCCTGCTACTTTAAAGAAACATTAAGATATTTAGGCCAGTTGAAATCAGTCAGAATGGATGTCTGCTCAGAAGAGTAAAAGACACTGTGTTTATCACCTGTCATACCAGTCTCCTGATGTGTTACTCTGTAGTATTAGAAAACTATCAGAAGTGTAGTATACAGCTAGGATATATGCTGATACACAGTCTTAGGAAACCAGTATAATTACACCAGAATATGGGAAGGTTATTTTAAACCACTTGATTTATTTCTAGACTAAGATCCTTTTCTGTGGCTTGGACCATCCAGCAACCCAAAGTGAGGCAGATTTGATAGTTTATATTTGAGTACCACAAGAACAGTATGCTAAACAAGAAGATTAGTTTAAGAAAGTCAACAATTTTCAGTGAAGAGGACAAACCTTTTCCCTTGCTTCTACAATCTTAACATTTCACATTTACCCCCTCTCTTTAACCTTAAATAACTCATAAAATTTAGTTTCTTTCTTAAAAGAAAGAAAAAAAGTATTTTTGTGCCAGAGCGAATTATCTTTTCTGACAGTTGACTTTAGGACTTCAGTTACCATTTCCCTGTGTCCATCTGAGGCAGCTCTCACCATGAATAAAGATCTGGTTTTGCCAGCACCCTACTTTGGAAGGACTATCTCAGTGTGGTGCTATAGTAGCAGTATGCAGGCATCTGAGTTTTAAAGTGCAAATAGGTCTATATTTTGAAACCAAATATTTGAAGATCAGTCCTCACAGCTGTTTTAGATGACTGTAGTATGGTTAGTTTTTCCTGGGACTTGGCAGAAAAAGATGCAGAAAGCCCACGTGCTTCATTTGTGCTTTGAAACCAAATATTTGGGAGTATTTAAAATATTATGTCTCTATGCTTATTTGGTACCTTCTATGGTTATTTTTCTTACACTGTTTGCTTTGGTGTTTTTAAGTTCTCCATTTAGTTGCAAGAGCTTTTCTGAGACTGTTGGTTTGCCATTGTTGGAGCCCCTGTTATTTAAATTGTGTCCAAAACAGTAGCTCACACCCGTTCAGATTCCTGACAGAAAGGGTTTATAGTTCAGTGGCACATCAGCATATGTATGGAATGATGTGTAATAAATATCAGCATACCGAGATAGCCCTAATTAGTGTGCTTCAATTATAATTAATAGCAGGGCTGGAAGAGGCTTTAGAAAATGTCAAAGTGGCAAATACTTACTCTGTATTATAGAATGTTTATTTTTCAAAAGATACATCATAAAGGATCAGTAGTCCTGAAGTGGACATCTCAACAAACCCCTTGTGAGTCATGGATCACTTGATACAACCTTTGTAAAATGTACCTAGTTAATATGCCTCTGGGCTATTTTGAAGTTATCAAAAGTTGTAAACAGTATTGAAAACAGAGTCTTGCCAACCCATTTAGACAAGAGTATGGGGAAGATTGGGCTTCCCAGGTGGCATTAGTGGTAAAGAACCCACCTGCCAGTGCAAGAGACTTAAGAGACCCAGGTTTGATACCTGAGTCAGGAAGATCCCCTGGAGAAGGGCATGGAAACCCACTCCAGTATTCTTGCCTGGAGAATCCCATGGACTACTAGTGGGCTATACAGTCCATAGGGTTGCAAAGAGTTGGACGCAACTGAAGCGACTTCACACGCACGCACTCATGCATGGGAAAGGTTAATTTAGACCATTTGAGTTTCCATAAGTCTCTAAATTCAAATTTTAGCAAGCATTTACTCATTCAGTCAGTCAACAAATATTTATGAACAATTGCCAGGTATTACCCAGGCATTGTGAAATATATTGGTGAATAGTACAGATAGTCTCTGCAAACTTCCGTTCTATTGGTGAGACAGATAATTAGTAAACAAGTATGTAATTTAAATTGTATTAAGTGCTAGGAGAGAAACAGTACAATGATGGAGAATATTTGGTGTAGTTAGAGAAGGCCTCTGAAAGTCTCTCCTGCAATCTGAAGACTGAGAAGGATCTGGCCTTTTAAAGAATGAGGGGAGGAAACCTTTCTCAGAGATTGAACAGCATGTGAAGAGACACAGAAATCATAGAGTACTTTTTATTGAGGTGTCTACAACTTGACTATGATGCTTTGGATGTGGCCAACAAAATTGGGATCATCTAAACTGAGTTGGGCTTCCGTGGTGGCTCAGACAGTAAAGAATCCACCTGCAATGCAGGAGACCTGGGTTTGATCCCTGGGTCGGGAAGATCCTCTGGAGGAGGATGTATTACTGGCAACCCATTCCAGTATTCTTGCCTGGAGAATTCCATGGACAGAGGAGCCTGGCAGGCTACAGTCCATGAGCTCACAGAGTTGGACACAACTGAGCAACTAACACACTACAACTTGGCATAAAGAAAATCTATAGTAAGGGTTCAGAGAAATCCTCCTCTTGTCAGGAAGAGTTCATTTACCTGAATTTTAATATCTACTTGATTGTCAGATTAAAGACATCTTTCTCCAGGTGAGCAATCATCTGAAGAATTGTTAATACTTTAAAATACCAACTGAAATAAAGGGATATGAAAAGCTGACTGTATGGAAGAATCCAACTTTAAAATACAGATTTAAAAATAATATTTTCCTCATTCTGAAAACGAATACTTGCTAAATAATACTGCAAAGATCTAAGGGAAAAAGCATATGAGCAAGAAGAAAGTACAAATTACCTGTAAACCTACCACTCAGAGATAAGCCTTATTTGCATTTTGCTGTATATCTTTCTAACCATTCTTCATTGTATAATATATAAACATATATATATTTATTTATTTATTTTACAAAAATGCAGTCATTTTATCATCTTGCTTTTTTTCTTTCCCACAATAAATGTTCTTAAAGAGTAGTAGATTACATGATGTGTTCCTTGAAGCCATAAAGTTCCTAGGAGTGACCTCTGAGGTTGAGTGGACAGTGTTTCAGGTTCCCACCCTTTCTTTAAAAAAAGCACCTTTGATTGTTGCTGTTGCTATTGTTATTTTTCTTTAAATTTAGGTTGTAACTAGACTTCATTTGGGATATAAAGAGTTCTGCATCCAAAAAAACATTTTTAATAACCACTTTCTTCTCATATTTGTTAAAGATAATAAATCTTTATGAAAGAATGAAAGTGAAAGTTGCTCAATCATGTCCGACTCTTTGTGACCCCGTGGGCTATACAGTTCATGGAATTCTCCAGGCCAGAGTACCGGAGTGGGTAGCCTTTCTCTTCTCCAGGGGATGTTCCCAACCCAGGGATTGAACCTAGGTCTCCCGCATTGCAGGATTCTTTACCAGCTGAGCCACCAGGGAAGCCCTTATGAAAGAACACTCACAAGTATATCTGTAAAAATACTTAAAAGTATTCCTTCATAAGGATCCATCAACCTTTAACCAATGCCCTATGTGTAAGAATTTGGGGGTTTTTTGCAGTTGTTTGCTATTTTAAATAGTAATACAGGGAATTTTCTTACAAAATCTTTGTAGATAAATTCCTGCACCGAAGGATTTTTCAAAACTTTAGGGTTTTTTTTTAATGTATCATACATATTTAAATGTATATGTGTTACCAAATATTGACCTTCAGAAGAACAGTGCTAGTTTATACCTTTCAAAACTGGGCATTTCACTTTTTAAAATCTTTACCTATTTTACAAGTCAGTTGTCACAAAAAACATGTTTGGTTTTGGCCTTAACTGTTCCAGTAGGTATTTTTATGACTGTTCATTTACAATTCTCAAAAACAGAAAATTAAATTTTTCTTGAGGTTTAGCAAATTAGCGGAATTTGTTCATTTTAGATTCATGCCTCAATGTTAAATTCCTATCTGGAAGCCAATGCCATCAGTAGAATTTGGAGATTCTTTTCCATTCATCAGGAAATGTAGCTAGCCTTATTTCCACATGTGGTGTCTGTCTGTCTCCCTACCTTCCCCCTTGTCTCTTTCTCTCGCTTTCCTGATAGTAGTATATTTTAAATGGTCAAATGATTCCTTTAATAGGACCCAAAGTCAATTCTCGAAAAGTTCATGGAAATGATCCTGTCTGCTTCCTGTTTTAACACTGCTAAATCTCTTGGCTCATTGAGGAAAGCATGTTATTCTAGAGATCCCTTACTTTTAACACATGTTCCCTTCTGCAGTGTTTCCTAGGTATCCGTGCAATGTAATGAAAAAATATAAGAACCAGCACACATGTTAGAGCCAGACAACCAAGCACAAACAGAGAAGTGGTACAAGTGTCTGAGTATTAAAGGATGCTGTTTGAGTGAGACAAGATAGTGAGTATCTTTAGGAGTCAGTTGGAATGTCGCATTGTAACAGAAGAGATTGATTCCATCATCATTTTAGAGACTTTGAAGGAAATGTGAAGAAAGTACATGCCATTATTTAATTAAAAGTAAAGCTTCTCTCTTTTAACTGAATCATTTTTTCAGCAAACATTTATTTTGTCCCCAACACATGCAGAGTTTTGTATTAGGTACACAATATGCATTATAAAGCATCTTTGCCCTCAGAGAACTAACAGTACAATATGAAAATCAGACATGTGAACAGACGGATACGTAACTGTTTTGTCATATTATTTACTGTTCTTCTCTCCATTTTCTGTATGTTTGAAAATAAAGAATTACCTCAGAATATACA